CGCCCCCCGTGCCCCCCCCCCCCCCCCCCCCCCCCCCCCCCAAAGCCTGTAGCGCTGCTGGGAGTTGTTGTGACCCAAGGGCAGGACCCAGCACTTGGCCTTGTTGAACTTCATACAACAGGCTTCAGCCCATGGATCCAGCCTGTCCAGATCCCTCTGCAGAGCCTCCCTACCCTCCAGCAGATCAATACTCCCGCTCAGTTTGGTGTTGCCTGCAAATTTACTGAGGGTGCACTCAATCCATTCATCCAGATCACTGATAAAGATATTAAACAAGACTGAGACTGGCCCCAAAACTGAGCCCTGGAGGATACCACTTGTGATCAGCCACCAAGTGGATCAAGCTCTGTTCACCACCACTCTCTGGGCTCATCCATCCAGTCAGTTTACAACCCAGCCAAGAGCACACCTGTCTAGGCCATGAGTCGCCAGCTTCTCTAGCAGAATGCTGCGGGAAACAGTGTCGAAGGCTTTAACTAAAGTCCTGGTAGACAATGTTCACAGTCTTTCCATAATCCACTAGGCGAGTCACCTGGCCATAGAAGGAGATCAGGTTGGTCAAGTAGGACCTGCCTTTCATGAACTCATGTTGACTGCCCTGAACCCCTGGTTGTCCTGCATGTGCCATGTAGTGCACTCAAGATGAACTGCTCCATAATCTTCCCCGGCACTGAGGTAAGGCTGACGGGCTTGTAGTTCTCCAGATCCTCTTTTTGTCCCTTCTTGCTAAGCCTCCAGTCGTTTGGGACCTCCCCTGTTAACCAGGATTGCTGGTAGATGACGGAGAGTGGCTTGGCAAGCTCCTCTGCCAGCTCCCTCAGCACTCTCAGGTGGAGCCTACCAGCCTCATGGACTTGTGAGTGTCCAGGTGCCATAGCAGGTCATTAACTGCCTCCTCCTGGATTAAGGGCAGTTTATTCTGCTCTCTCGCTGTCTTCCAGCCCTGGGGGATGACACCCTGAAGATAACTCGTCATAACTTCATAAAAATTCTACAGAACTACAGCATAATAGAAATCCTTCTACAATTTGGTAGTATTCCTACAATAACAGCCTATTCCCCGGAAACAAAAATGGTCCTATCAATCCGCACTGCATCACTGATGAAGTCTGTTTTAACAACAAAAACTTGAAATAGTTATCTCTTACCAAAGACATTTATCAGAAAGGTAAGCAAGTGTAAATAAATGTGTGAGAACACTGATATTCAAGGAGTAGAGAAGAAAGGTTTTTCTTCTCTCTGTTGCCTGTTAAAACAAAAAATGGCTTTAGAAACCTCTCATTTAATGTCACTTCTGACTCAGCTGAACTCTGATTCATGAAAGATCTGAAGGTAATAACACTGATGATGAAGAGGATGGTCCTATAATTCATTCCTATAAATATCCTTAAATAGCCATAAAATGCTTTACATTCCTTTTCCACAGGTGTAAACAAAATACGATATTCAGCTGATCTGGACAGTTCTTTGCTGCCTTGCTCTTACTGGCTCCTTAAAAGTATTTAATTTTAAAGATATAATATATTTACACACACAAACATATATGTACGCTGTAAGGATGTTTTGACTGTGAAGTTTAACATAAAAGATATGCATTATGACAGATATGCTTTTATGACAGAAGGATCTTTACTATAGAACAAAATAGTCCAAGTGGAAATAGTTTCTAAAAGTTCTCAAATTTCAATTATGAAGCAGCAAACTGATAAAGACGCATATTTAAATGGACTTTCTGTACACTGCTTATATATTCACTTCAG